GAGCCGGGAAAATTATTTTCAAAAATAACCAACAAGATATAAAAATCCTAGACTGGGCCCAGTAACTCACGCCTATTATCCTAGCTCTCTGGGACGCCAAGGTGGGTGGATTGCCTGAGCTCATAGTTTGAGAGCAACCTGAGCCAGAGCAAGACCTTGTCTTTAAAAATAGCTGGGCATTGTGGCAGGCACCTTTATTCCCAGCTACTTGGGAGGCTGAGGCAAGAGAATTGCTTGAGCCCAAGAGTTTAAGGTTGCTGTGAGCTGTGACACTACGGAACTCTACCAAGAGTGACAAAGACTCTATCTCAAAAAAAAAAAAAAATGGGGGTGGAGGCAATATGGCTGACTAGAGCCAGCTTTCCACAGAGGTTCCCATCCAGAAGGAGAGTTAAAGGACAGAAGTTTAGCAAGTAAGCTGATGGTTGGAGCTGAGGTTCAAAGACCTTCAACCTTCTCCAGAGAGAAGAACGCACATCAACCCTACTGAGGCGAGCTGTAACCCCAAGGATACAAACAAAAGGTACAAAATTCATTGCCAAGGGGATGAAAGTCCCCTCCCCCTTGAAAACGGCTTGCAGTATACTTTCTACAAACAAGTGAGCAGAGTTTAAACTTCTTCCCATTTTAACCCACAGGAGAGACCCTCTAAAAACCGGACCTCCTTCCCCTACTAGGGTGCCATGGCACTCTCCTGCCAGGCATAAAACTGTATATATTCTCTACCTGCAATTCTAAACTCCCAGCACTCCCCTCCACTCTCATCCCAAGGTATGGAAGCCTGTCCCCCATGGAGTCCAGATTCTTGGGCATTTTCTTACGAGGTGTGGACAGGGTGTGGGCTGTTGCAGGTCTGTGCTGATTCTGCAGCACAGGGGTAAGGAGAAAACAGTGGACTGAAGGAACCATACAGGGAAGGGAAGAGGAGGTACCCTCGGCACAGAGCATCAGCCACAGCAGCGGGAACAATAGGGCTTACACCCCTGGGTATATTTTGGACACTCCCTGTCTCTCTGGGCAACCAGAGAAAGCTGGGCATCTTCTCTGGTGGCAGACACTGGTGGAATATATCTGGAATGGTAACAAACCCCATGAACAAAGGGTATGCCTGAGGTGGTACTGGCCGGGGCGGAGCGCAACGGGATGGAAAATTGAACCTCGTGCACAGAGACCACATACTCCCAGGGTGGGGCTGCACCAGGACTGCTTAGTGAGCTTAAGAAACACCCAGCCCTCAGAGGATCATAGCTGAGACAAAGGCAGGCAGGAAACCAAAAGCTGAGTGTAAGCTCTAACTGGACCCACCACAACACAGACTGCAGGGGAAACAGAAACACCAGCTCTGGGCAGACCAGGGCTGAGTCTCAGTTTCTATGAACTCAAACAGCACCTGGTCTGCAGGGGAATATAGCCAAGATAGAATCACAAATTTTGTGCAAATATAAGTGTCAGCAACATCAATCAGGGGCCAGGCTGGAACTGAGTGAACTGCCCCAGCTTCTGTTAACCAGATTGTCAAGCCTCAGCTTCCCCTTGCTGGATGGTGGCAGAGTGCAGAGGCCTGGCTGAGGAGACATAAGATCTCTCTGTGACTCAAACCCCTGGAGCATCTGCTTATTGGAGGAAATTGGGACATAGGCCTGTGGGGTTACCAGTGACCAGGTGTGACAGAGGTACAAGGTGGGGAAGGAGGCATCAACCTTTCCAGACTAATAATTCATTTGCTGGGGGGGTGTCCTTCTGACCCCATGGAGCACCAGAATGAGTCATACCTGAGTTGCCAGCAGACACCTGCTATCTAATTGCCAGAAACCTTTTTGAATCCCTCACTTGAGACCAGGTGCTGATTTGGATCTCTTGGACTGGACCAATCACCCAAGGACTAGCCAAGGTGGTACCCTGGGTGTGTCATTGTGGAAAGGTTTGATTTTCCTTTTCCAGTTGTTGCCTGTGGGGGGCAGGGGCACTTAATTGCTGGTATTTTTCCACAGCTGAGACTTCAACCCAGAGTAACTAATTCACTAGGGTAGGACAGAGACCAACTGAAAACAAGACAGAGACACTTAGCCCCACCACACCAAGTAAGTCCCCAGTGTTTCAGGCCTTAGCACTGTACAGGTCCTTTGCAAAGGTCTAGGGGAAAAGATATCGACACCAGTCCCAGTTCTTGGGCAAAGGGCTGGTTAATCACTACTCCAGGAGTCCCTAATCCAACTTAACCTTATCTGCTTATCTAGCCAAATGGTGTAAAATAATCATGATTCAGAGTAAGTGGGAAAACTCCAGTAACATGAATAATCAGAGTAGATCAACTCCCCCAAGGAACAATATGGGGGACACAACTGAAGATCTTATTCATAGTAAAATGCCTGAGATGTCAGAAATCGAATTCAGAGTTTGGATTGCAAATAAGATTAATATAATGGAGGTAAAGTTGGAATTAGAAATTCAAAGAGCAATTCAAAAGTTGTCTCAAGAATTCAATGAAATCAAAGACAAAATCACCAAAGATTTTGACACACTGAGACAAGAATTTGCCGTCCTCAAAGATCTGAGAAATACAGTAGAATCCCTCAGTAACAGGAGCAAGCAGAAGAAAGGATTTCTGATATTGAATAAAAAGCTTTTGAATGCTCCCAAGCACTCAAAGAGGAAGAGAAGTAGAGAGCCAAAATGGATCATTCTCTCAGAGAGCGTTGGGATAATTCAAAAACTAATATTCGCCTTATAGGAATCTCTGAAGGTGATGAAGTTGCTTCACAAAGCACAGAGGCCTTTTTTCGTGAGATTATGAGGGAGAAATTTCCAGATGTGCCAAGAGATTCTGAAATGCAGATAGCAGACAGTTTCAGAACCCCAGCATGTCTCAACCTGAATAAGACAACCCCCAGACACATCATAATTAACTTCACTAAAGTTAGTATGAAGGAGAAAATTCTGAAAGCAGCCAGATGCAAGAAAACCATAACCTACAAGAGGAAGAATATTAGAATGACTGTAGATCTTTCTGCTGAAGCCTTTCAAGCTAGAAGAGGGCAGTCATTGACTTTTAATCCCCTAAAACAAAATAATTTTCAACCCAGGATCCTTTATCCAGTGAAACTGAGTTTCATTTATGATGGAGAAATTAAATACTTTAATGACATTCACATGTTGAAGAAATTTGCCATAACTAAACTAGCTCTCCAGGATATTCTCAGATCTATCCTCCATAATGACCAGTGCAATACTCCACCACAAAAGTAAACTCACTCAGAAACTTTTGATCAAATTCCAACTTCCACAGTGGTGAAAGGATTAAAAATGTCCACTGGACTTTCAAAAAACTCAATACCCAAAATTCTACCAGGCTTATCAATATTCTCAATTAATGTGAATGGCTTAAATTGTCCTCCAAAGAGGCACAGGTTGGCTAACTCAATACAAAAACTCAAGCCAGATAACTGCTGCATACAAGAATTTCATCTTGCCTTAAAAGATAAATATAGACTCAGGGTGAAGGGATGGTCATCTGTATTTCAGGCAAATGGAAATCAGAAAAAAGCAGGTGTTGCAATTTTATTCACAGATATAATAGGCTTTAAACCAACAAAAATAAGGAAAGATAAGGATGGTCACTTCATATTTGTTAAGGGTAATATTCAATATAATGATATTTCAATTATTAATATTCATGCACCCATCCAGAATGTGCCTCAATTTATAAGAGACACTCTAACAGACATGAGCAACTTGATTTCCTCCAGCACCATAATTGTCAGAGATTTTAACACTCCTTTGACAGTGTTGGATAGATCCTCCAATAAGAAGCTAAGCAAAGAAATTTTAGATTTAAACTTAATCATTCAACATTTGCATTTAAACAGACATCTACAGAACATTTCATCCTAACAAAACTGAATGTGCATTCTTCTCATCAGCTCACAGAACATACTCCAAAATTGATCACATCTTAGGTCACAAGCCTAACCTCAACAAATTTAAAAGAATAGAAATTATTTCTTGCATCTTCTTGGACCATCATGGAATAAAAATTCAACTCAGTAACAACAGGAATCTGCATACTCACACAAAAACATGTAAGCTAAATAACTTTTTGCTGAATGATAGCTGGGTCAGAGACGAGATTAAGAAGGAAATTACCAAATTTTTGGAACAAAACGATAATGAAGACATAAATTATCAGAACCTCTGGGATACCACAAAGGCAGTCCTGAGAGGGAAATTTATAGTACTGCAAGCCTTCCTCAAGAGAAC